AAGACTGTTCAGTACTTGATCGTTATCAGAGGAACTGTTGGGTGATCTATACAGGACACCTATAAGGAGGCTATCCCTGCTTTTTAAAGAAAGCTCACACCACACTGATTCTCTAGCTGATTGGTGCTCTGCTGATAACTTAACTTGTTGGGCCCCATAAAAGGTTCTAACCCACAGACCTACACCTCTACTTTACTGCTCTTCGTTTAAATTATGAAAGCAATCAAAACCTGGCAACTGAAATTCAACTGGTAAAATTTTTCCCCCGTGATTTTTGGGGAGTGTCTCTGTAATACAAATAATGTCTATACACTCGTTTTCGATCACAGTTAACAGTTCATTTCTTTTGTTCAAAACGGAATCCGAGTTCGTGTAGAAACATTTCAAAACTTTTTGTGCACTTCCATCTTGATGTATGAATAAACTTTTTAGCTTATTTACAGAACTGGATTTATATACATGATTTCCACTATTTAATTGTCTTCCATCTCTCGTGGCTGTCGGCGAGCGGTCGGAGTCCTCGTGAGATCTTGAATGGTGTTGACATGATTTTCCGTGTTTCCGCGTCTGTTTCGCTCCTGCCATTTCTTGCGGAACTCCGGCCTCTCTAAAGGGGTGGAATCCTTTTTCACAAAAACAGACTTGAATTCAACAGTTTCTCCTAATTTTTTCGCTGCTTTCAGCACGCTCCAAACCTGGGCCGGATCCTTCACAGTCACCTATAGAGGTCTGCATGCGTTAGTAGCAGCATTCTTGGAGCGCAGCCTCTTGCACGATGCAGTATCAACCGGCGTGCTTAGTGCTTTACTACAACAGTCTGCCACATACTTATTGTTGGCCATAGACTGGAAGATAGAGACGAGAATGGCTGAGTTATCGGGCGTAAATAGGAGTTTGATATAAATTCCTGAGTTTATGCTGTCAATTGACCAGGACCGGTAACCGACTCTCACATCGTGAAATAGTTTTGCTATTTATTTCGATCTTTGCATGAAAATCTCGCTAACCATGGCTCTTCCTACATGACCGGATAAAATAATAAGAATAACTGTTATGGCCTCAATGAAAGTGGTGCGTTAGCCTTGGTAACGGTGTTGAAAGCCTAGTGAGCGTCTATCGGACGGATGTGTTGCGTGTCTACTCGCATTTACAACGCTCAGTTGTGCATGTTACTCCAGCGCTGGCTTGGGGCAGCTATTCCTTTCATGTCTCACTCGAGTAAGGGCAGTGGTGGGCACAGTTCCGCTAATCCGCTAACCGCTAATTAGCGAAGCTAACTTTTTCCTTATCGGATTAGCTGTTCAGCTAACTTTGAGAACCTTTAGCGGACCAATTAGCTTCCGCTAAATTTAGTTCCGCTAACTGGAAGTCCGCTAAAAATGTTTAAAAATCTCTGATATAATGCTAAGTATCGTAAGCCATGTACCACGCCCACACCTATACTGCAGTCCTCTGGTGGACGCAATGCTGGCAGGCATCACGAAAAGGTTTGGGCCCCTCCTAGAAGACAAGGAGTGCCAGCTGGCAGCGGCCTACCACCCTAAGTTTCGCCTGTTCTGGCAGGAAAAGCATAATCACAGCCATCTCAGCAGGGTACAGAAGGCCATGGAGACCGCCGTGGAGACAGCCCTGAGGGAGACCGTTGAGGAGGGCAGCAGCACCACCAGCAATGACGAGGATGGGGAAGATGTTCGAAGGAGGAATTGACTGACGTTGCCTTCTTGGGCGAGCAGGTGTTGATGAACCTTTTCGTTGAGTACAACACAGCCATCCCATCCAGTGCTGCAGCTGGGCGCCTGTTTTCCATAGGCAAGGACATCTTGAGTGCCAAGAGAGCCACCCTGTCAGATGCCAACTTTGAGAGGCTGATGTTCATGAAGGGCAACAATCATCACCTCGAGGAGATGAAGGCGAAGAGCAAGCCAGAGTAAAAGGATTGTGTAACCCTGGTGTAACCTTAATATTTCTTATTCGTTTAATAAACTGTATGTTGAATGTCAACTACTGCCTAATTTCATTTGTTCATTTAATTATTTATGTTACGTACATCTTGATCATCATCTGATCTTGGCATGCTACATCTTTTTGGAAAGCTCCTTTTCAAGGCTGAAAGTTCAGCTATCTAGGCCTGTTTTTCAGAGTTCCTCCCCCCCCAAAAAAAAAATTAAGCGAAATCTAAATTTATATATTAAAAGTTAGCGGTTAGCGGCAAATTCCGCTACATTTTTTGGTGATTTATCGGTTTAGCGTTATCGAAGTTAACTTTTCAGTTAGCGGATTAGCGGTTATCGAAGCTAACTTTTAGGTTAGCTGTGCCCACCACTGAGTAAGGGTATCAGTAGTGGCAGCTCTGTCTGTAAGCAATATATGTCATTATCATCCAGGTTCTGGAGAGTATTTAAACAATTTATATCAATTATATATCCCACAGAAGTATTTTTCCGACAGCCGCTTTAGTTTAAGCTCTGAGTTCTCGGTTAATAAGTGCTCGGTCAATCGGGGTAAATAGTCGTTAACCCATGATTTTGATGGTCAAGATTCGGGGTAAATGGTAAGGTTTTTGATCGGAATGCAGTGCTCGAATTTTTTATGGTCATGATTCTAAATAAAATTGTGGGTAAATGACCAGGTTCTTTTCGGGGTAATCGGTCAATTTTGATGGGTAATAGTATTCGGGGTAAGAATGTGAGTAAATGACCAAGTTTCCGGGATTAAGATTTTGGGTAAATGATCGGTACCCTGTTAAGCTGTTTAGACAAACTGTTGTGATAGGCTCACTCCTCTACTACTGAAATCATTCTGATATTCGAAGAATGCATCGCCGATAATATTGAAATCGCAGCCTGTACCAAATCCAGCAGTATTCCAAGTAATTTCTGGGAAAACATTTGGATTTGGCGTGATACATACATGAATCTGGGTGGCACTTGATCAGTGCGAGTCTTATCTTCTAAAATATGAGTTAAATTATAAAAAATTCATAAGAATAATTGAATAAACTTTAGACGCACCCTTACAATTACTGTGCGTGTCTAAATTACTATGCAGGTAATTACTGTGCAAAGAAATGAACGGATTCAGGATACGGGGTAATCTTGAAACTGCATGGGATAGAACCCCACCTTAGAATGGAGGGTGGTGATCTAGTAGCTGGTGCAGACACCCAACTTCAAATAATAAATGTTGTCGCATTTAGCACAGAGTCACTTCATGAATTTTAAATATGGAATATTGTGCAGATGTGTATCATCTAGGTTTAAGGTTCTAATTCATTTATAAAGAACTATTTAAGGTTAGAATTAAATGTCATTCCTCATGTCAACCTCATTCCGACTTCAAGGACTTTGTCACAAGAACGCGAGTATTTTATTTTCTGATATCACAAACAAAATTAATTTGAGTAATATATTTATAATTGTGTAATTCCAGTTGTATTTATACTTGTTACACTGTATAACTTGTTTATACAGGGTTCGGTAGTCAGACTGAAGAAATAACTGAATGTTAACTCTTGTCGTACCTCAATATGAGCCTTTAAATTAGTCGTACGATTTATATTAAATAGAAACTAACCCAAAATAAGTGAAACCAACGTCAGATAAGTGCTGCTGCGACACAAGGAGCAGGAACTGAACTTAGGATGAAGGCCGATGACTTGTGGTCGATAGCTTCGAGACTCACCTCGGAATGGGGGATATTGTGACAGGGTTTACAGATTCGCTCGTGGAATGGGATTGCGTGTTTGCTGTCAAGCATCTTGATGAGTTCCTCTTTGGTCTTGGGAGGAAGCGAGTTTTCTTCCACCTCGAAGATGGGGAACACATACACCCGTGGCTGAGTCGTGTTCGACACGTCAGGTTTCTTTAGCATTTCGAGAAATTCTGTTCAGTAAGTTATAAAATACGTTACCTGAGAATATGGCATTTTAAGCGAGGGGAAAAATTTAATGTTGTGCTCGGCTACTTTTTTATGATTTGATTTTGCATTTAATACGGTTATTATGATAGCATTAAGTGGCCATTGAAATAAACTGTGAATAATGATCAGGATGAAATGTAGCAAATAGAACTAATGAGTTCACGAAAATCGGTGAGATCATGACGAACCTTGAATGCATTTGAAGGAAGATGCCAGCTGGTTTCATAACCAACGGGATTTATTGGAGGCAAACACGAAACTACTTCAATAAAAACAATTTAAATTATTCTTTTCCTGACTGATAGATTTTACACTTTAGTAACAATAACGCAAAGTTTCAATGAAAATAAAGAACATCACACCATTTTTGGAAAGGTACGCAATTAATAATGAAAATGTAACACAAATTTCAGTCGGCGATAAATAATAACCTGGAATAAAATTCACGGAAGGGTATAGCTCGATGTCTGAAGGGAAGACGAAGTATGTGGTTGCCATACTGCGGGCAACGTTCCTTGCAACATTGATGGGGTATACAAGTCCCTTCTGCCGTCGATACGAGGTGACGTTCATCCAATTGGGCGGGTCCGCACTACAATTCATCTTTCGGCCCATTAACTCCTCCGTCGTCGGTATCTGTAATTACTAATAGTCAGCAGCAGCAAAAATTACGTCAAAAATTAGAGAATTAGAACTATTGGAGGTACTTCAACAGTAGTATGGCCCGACATAATCCGACCGACGGTAGCTGAAGCCCTTCTCCACGGATTGGACTCCATCTATCCATCTAATAACTGCCTGATTTTCTAAGCTTTAGATTGATTCGGAATTATTTTCGCGGTTCCAAAATTTCTTGTATCCTATTTATGTGTATCATGTACTTATTTCCATCACAATTTCTGTATTCAATGCTTCCAGTAACTTAAAAAAGAATGTTGTTACATTCGAAACGTCGTTCATAAATTCATACTACTCCCTTGAACCTGCATTTTGATCAACTAATGTCATCTGAAGAATATTGTTCGACCCTGAAAATTTAAATTGACGAATTCTCTGGCCATTAACGACCCGTGTTAAAACAATATATATATATATATATTAGCTTCTTGTTAGTTTTTTCAGTAAGTCGTAGTAAATTCTTCGTAGGTGTTATTAATTATTACCGATAAAAATTAAATTACCGATAAACATTTTTAATATTGAACGACGTTTCGAATGTACAACATTCATTTTCAAGTTAAAGACGCATTGAGTAACGAAACTTGGGTTAACATATGTACGAAATCAAGTAAATTGGATACCATTCAAATAATGCTAAAATTTCGTAAACGTGATAACTACAGGAAGATTTTACAAGCGCAAAAACTACTCGGAAAACAATCTCAAAGTTCGGACGAAGCCGGTGGTTTGAAGGTTGATAGCTGGAGTCCTCTCCTTAATGATGAGGGCCTCAGCTATCGCCAGTCGTATAGGATCGGAGCATCGCATAACTATACTGGTGCATTCTTCCAATATCGGGCGAGTTATGGTCTCGTTGTGGGCCTCCTTCAAGTGATTCCTTGGTCCTCCGGACTAAAGGTGGCAGGTGAGACGTCGGCTTAGAGTCGTGGTTGTGAGCCCGATGAAGTCCATATTAGGAAGAAGTCTACAACCTTCTTATTTGCAAGAAAATTTATAGACTACATTGGTCTCTTGGAGAGGTCCTGTTCTTATGCAAGGGTTATTGTTCATGACAAGATTCCGAATTTTCATGTTTCTATAGTAGATCAGCAGTTTAATTTTGTTGTTATTTGAGTTGTTCACGATGTTGTTGTGAACGATAGATTTGATGATCCGCTCATCTGCTTTATATAGCCACTGGTCATTTGGTTCTGGTAGTAGATACTAGATAGTAGTAAAATTTTCATTTTGTTTCAGTCCTTATTGTTTTGATCGGAGTCTTGAGATTTCTTCATCGATGGTACTATTTGTAAAGCCATTGTTGACAAGGATTTGTTTACAATTTCTCAGTTCGGTATTTAAATCACCTTCAGTTGAGCAGGTCTTGAAAGCTCTATGGATGAGGCGTGTATTGCGCTCTTTTTGTAGCGTTCCGGGCATTCGCTGGCAGCGTTCAGGTCCCTTCCGATATCTGTTGGTTTCCGATATACTTTTGTGACAACTGAATTATCTTTAACTTCCAATACATCCAAAAAAGGCAAAGTGCGATTTTATCCGAGCTCATAAGTAAACTTCAAGACTGAATTCAGTTCGAAGGCTATACGCAGTTTTATTTTTTGAGATGTTCTTCATCACGAACAACGACGGAGATGTCGTCGACATATCTGCAGTACAGTTCAGGCTTGATCTGTCCATCTGACAAAACTCTATTTTCAATTTCGCACATGTAGTATTCTGCGAAGGTGGGACCAAGAGTCGTATATTTTGATTTATACTGCCCATGGTAGCGCCGTTAGTTTGTCGGTAAATTTTGTTGTCGGGAGTCCGGAAAGGTGATTCGCAAGTGCACAGTCGAAGGTCAAGGAGAATTTTCTTCGGTATCGGTGGAGCCGGCAAAGAAGTCCCCTCCAAAACAAGATGATCGGTAATAAATTCGTGCCAATAAGTTTTGTTTGCTTTTGAACATATATAGAGTTCACTGATTCTGCGCAATCATACAATGGGTATGGTAATTTATTCCTTCAGATGATGGAAGACCGAACTTTAATTTTGTAGACCAAGTCAAAAATTTTTGTTAAAAATTGCAAAATGTTATTACTTATTACATATATTTGATTTTTGCCATCTTTTACTATATGAACAATTTTAAAAACTTAAAACGACATAGATGGTCTTTGAGGTCATCCAATTTAAACCTACACATTCGAGTAGAGAACGAAAAGTCATTGAGTGAGAATGCTGATGTGACTAATTATGTAACAACTCAATGGAGCAAAAGCGAGGAAAATAGAACGAACAAGACACGAGGAAAGCACTGAGATACTTATAATGCGCTGCTTTAACACTAAAGTAAACTATTAAAAGCAGAGAGAACGACGGGAGAGCGTCGCGCGCTCGCCGACCTGGGCCTATACTTTCAAAACTCGCTAAGTGAACGCAAGTACTTCCGCGCTATTTTCTTGTCTATGATTGGTGGATTTGGCTTGAAGGGCCGTCAATGATTGGCTGATGAACTTACGATCTCTTAACTTTTTTTGAAAGTATAGGCCCAGGCATACTTAAGTTAGTGGCCGCTACTTTTTCGATACCCGATGTATTTTTATAGCGCTCCTATTTCAAATTTCAAAAATAAGACTTGCGCACCATTTGTAATGTAATAGTTTAAATGTGACTGTCATTAATTCACATTTATTTACTTGAGAATTTCTATGATAACAAAAAAATCTGGCTTGCCGATAAGTATTTTCAGACCTTCTCAGGGATATAATCTGTGTGATAGATAAGGTGGAAAGCCACGTATTTCCTGATGCTCTCTGTCCTGCAGTCTCTGAGGTACATGATGATTGATGTGGCTATGTTGAAGTCGCCTCCAGGAGCATATAGACCAATGCTCACTGGACCCTGCGCACAGAAAATTTTACAATCGTTAGTATTGACTGGAGTCTTACAATGTCCTATAAGGAAAAATGGAAAATTTGTCTCTTTTAGGAAATTAGACAAGTCAGTAATATGGGTTCGCGTGAACGCTTCTGAGAACAACATTCTATAATGGCCCTTTTAGGCGCTCATAACTGAACTCTTCAACATTGAAGGTGTTACCACTCCAGAAAATGCAGTCTTGCAGGTCATCCACTACATCAAGAGCCCTAAATTCCTCAGAGACTGAAAAATGTCCATTGGGAAAACTCGACCTCCTTTTGCCCGATATTGATCATTTTGGTATTTATGAGTATGTTCTCGAGTGAGTAGAAGAGATTTCTGAATTACAAAATGCGTCCCAAATAAGCAATAAAACTATAGATAAAAGAACAATTATTAGTATATGTGAATAATTTTAATGTTATTCTAACAGCTCGATCCGAGAAAGGCATTAATCCTTTTATTAGGGGCGTTTTATTATATAATATCTATAAGTTACCTGTATTTTGATCTAATTGACAATTAAAATTGCAATGACCAATGAAGGCTTAGGTCGATTTTCCATAAAAAGCTAATCTACGTTAAATAGCAAGCCAGACTTTTTGCTGGAGATAATTTATGCCTTATAGTCTTCATCGTCATTGAGGTCCCTTTGTCTTCACCATCTTCGTCATCTTCTTCGACGTCCGCATCGGTTCTTGCATCGGGTGATGAGAGAAGAATATGAGACTCCTGGTACACATCCGCTGAAAGACATCGTTTTCACGTCCCAAATAAGATTATTGGTGGGGCACCGATGAATATTGGTGGCTATAGATGGAAACTATAGTAGGAGCACCAATGGCGTGACACCTATATGTGCCACCAATAACCTGCCGATGTCGACTATAACCAAAAAACTCTTCTTTCACCAATAAATTGATGAAAGAACCAAATGGTGGTGTATTGACACCGATGGCGCATCGATGAGCTATCGATAGGCACCTCTTCAATTAAGTCGATAAATTTTTTCCGTTAGTTACAAATCCAGTGCCTATAGATACACTCACACACTGACCAACATTCTTTTAATTTGGCTACATATTTTAAGGATTACGTATACACAACAAGCACGTTGACTGATGTGGTCACTCATCGATACGCCACCTATAATGTACAACGTCCATCTATAATCATCGGTGCGTCACCCTTAATATTTGTTTGAGATGTGCCGCCGTTACTGATCCAAATGTAGGTTAGGAGCATTCCAGATTGGCTCTACTGCCCGCTGAAAGCAAGCATCGCCGTTGTTGACCCACTCTACGTTAAATATAAGTTAATCTTGGCAGGGTGGAATATAGACCGCGACCCTACAAAAGGAAAATCTTAAAGGTACAGTAGAAAGAACTATTCGACTCTAGACCCGGACTTGACGGACCGGTCCCGATTAAACTATTTAGGAGCAAATAATATCCCGTTGAAATCCCTCTGTAGCCACACAGCGCTTGGTTTGCCGTTGAACTCAGAAAGAAAAATACGGACTGATGCAATAAGCCTATGTGAAGAACGCAGATTCTTCGGAAGTACTCCACTACCGAATAAGTGATAGACTGAAGGTACACCATCCACAAATTATCATCATTCCCTACGACACCTTTATAAACAGGGACAAACACTCGACAACAACCACCAAACAGACAAAACGCTCGACGAACAAATAGCTTCCTTCATGATCCCAGTCCTCTCTAAAGATAATGCAAAATGACCTCAGCCTCTGGTGCAACAATAAATTCACTCTTGCAAACGTATAAGACACAATTTGCAATACGACTGATAAACGCATTCGAAAGCGAATGACTCATTAGGACGAACATAAGCATTTGAAAATCTTTTTTTTTTCAGAAGGAGAAACATCCGATATTCGCCTGGACAACACTCATTACCTCTACACAAACCAATGAATAGTTATAGACTTAAAATAACAAAATACAATAAGAGAACAAAAGCGAAATGCATGTAAATAGAAAGTACGTATCATTTACATTTTCTTAATAATAGTTGAACTTATGAATGAGGTATTATAAGGAACCACGCCCTCCCATCCCTACTTCGTTAAGCCTTCCAAAGCCCTGACGGGTTCTTCCCCCCCTCCAACCCTAACCAATCCCCATGCATCTATAAAAACCAAATTAAGCGCAGAGCGCCTCTCGTCTTATCCTACTGTCTTTAAATCAAAAATTGCAGTCCAAGGTCCTTGCCTTCAAATTAATCAAGGTGTTCGAGTTGGACGTGGCCATTATACTTGTTTATACCATGAAGGGAGCTGAATTATATGATATTTGGAAATACGATTCCTGTCGAAATGGTTCTTACTGAGTTTCTGGAGCATCACCGTCATATTCTGGCCCTTCTGGAGGAGGGTGCAGATGTCGATGTTCAATTCTTTTACTTTCGAAAGCGTTCGACAAAACGACAAAATTGATCGCGGAGATTATTCAGAATATTTAGGCTGCAGATATTCGGATGAAGCATTTTAGCGTAGAACTAAACTTTTTGGTCGACAAAGCATATGCTGTCATTATTGAATATTCAGAATCATGAGAGGTGACGTTGAAAAGCCGAGGACCACTGGGTCTACTACTTGTTTTACGATCCTAGTCATCCACATCGCCCTCCTAGATGAAAAACGGATACTAGCTTGTATATTTTCATTTGAAGAGGATAAAAGAGCAGTGATGAGGGCTAAAGACACACTGGCCTGCGAGAGGCCATATGCAGGAGACTATAAAGTGGGATGCACAGCTGGAATATTGGCAGAAGTTCACCCAACTGGGACTGAAAGCCTCTGAATGACTGCGTAGAACAGCCTGGGTAGCTGTTCGTACAGTAGAGCATAGTAGTGTCTGTTATGAAGAAATTTTATCGATTCTAGTAATTTTCTTGACTTGTCTCCCAGAAATTTAAAAAGCGTCATTTGACAAGATCTTTACTAAACTGGCATGGATTTTAGCATGCTGTATATTTAACTACTGCAAAGTACACCATTTTTCATTATGGCAGATTAAATTTCGGTGGAAATCATTGAGGTGGAAAAAAGGAGTAAACTAATCACAATATTCATTCTCACGCAGTACAAGGATAGTTTCGGACTGCCTTGAGAGATAAAGAAGGCAAAGCATTGGTCCACACCTGCCACCTGGAGGTGATGGTTTCAATGTTGTCGAGATGGGCGTATTCCCCGTGCGTGGTGTATGTTATAGATTCGTCGCATCGGAAGGACAGATCAGCAGGAATGTAATTCTCGAGGATCCAGTACTCGCCGTGTTGGCTTTGGATTGGCAATGACGGACGAGAGGCACACCCGCGAAAATCAGGAAACATTTTCTTCTCGAGGGAAAGCGGGGGAGGATCAGGGGCACCATTTGAGATGCCGGACGCATGCAGATGTTCGGTTACCTCCTGTTTGACCTGCAACTTGTTAGAGTTAACAGTTGTATCGTCACTGGGGCGTGGAACCTGCAGTGAGAATTCATTTCTTTCAAGATCATAGGGTGCAGTGTTCCGGGACAGTTGGATATCTGAATTTGCTTCATCCCAGTGGTGATGGGATAGAGACAGAGTAAAAATCTGACTGCAAGATTCATGAACAGAAAATTTCTCGAGGCAAAAATAGGCAATCAAACACGCATTAGTCAACAACGACACTTTGATCAGCCTGGGCCGAAATAAAGCCATATTGAGCCACTGCACCTTCACTGCATCTGCGAAAGATAGCAACGCAATGCAAACAAAACAATTAACAAAATTTGTTACTACTATATGACTTAACTTTCATTATTATACGGTACCTATCTGGAGATTTATCTGTGTACTGATTGGCCGTGATGGATTTTTACTACAGGCGTTTGTTCCCTAAGACGCCAACTTACGTACAATAATTGCAAATTTTAAACTTTATTTACTTGAAGCTTATAGAAGAAAATAACATAAAAATCACTATTCAAATGTAAATTTATTTGGGAAATACTAATATCATGTCAAATGAACACTAGCATTAAATGTTCACTTGATAATTGCAATTTTATAAAAGTCAAGGTTCAAAAAGAATCCAATACATCGTAAAAAAGAAGTTGATTCGCCAATAATTTCTCATCCATTATGTTCGGAGGAATATTTTAGAATCAGCAAACGTTGGAATATTCTAGAATGCTAAAGAACGTCATAGACATCTTTCTAACTGCAGTCATTCATTACCTGGCATCATCATTAGGAAGTGGCCTAGAAATATATAGAAATATTGGTGGATGGTGGGATGTAGAAAAATTTCATGTGTTAAATATCCCTATTTCGAAAGTTTGTGATACCTACTGTTCATAAAAAGAATTATTTATCTTTCGACTAGCCAGCCTCTTTAGGGCGTCTTTAAAAAATTTCTAACCGTGCAGCAAGGAGTTTACATCGAAAAGTACATAAATAATCCTCGACTGACTCGCTCTGAACTGCAAAAAGTCTTGCATGCAAGTGGGATAAATGTTGAAAGAATACAATTAGGACAGTAATTCGAGAGAGAGGATTCCACTTTCGGTCATCAAAAAATCCCTCTCTCGAAAGAAATTTAGGTAAAGAACCGCCGGAACTTTTCTAAAGAACACGTGAGTAAACCTCCAGGTTTTAATATAAAATATCATGGTCAGATGAGATATCATGGTCGGAACTGTTTCAGTCGTGTTTGGATACAGAAGAACTCAGAGGTTTACCCGAAGAATACCATCCCAACAGTGAAACTTTGAGGTGGCAGCATAATAGCATAGCATAGTGAAGTCGGCGCTGAAGAATAGGCCTGATGTGGCCTGTCGCCGATTCTTGAACTTTTCGTGACTTGTCCATAGGAGATCTAAAAAAAGGTCCCCCTACCGGATATTTTCCAAACTGCCGATAGTTTGAAATATTTACTAGACTTCTACCTGGTTCGATATGTGCTAGGAATTTTAAGTCTGAACATATATTTCTCCATAGCTTTATTTAGTCTGTCTTTATTTGGGGTCTGTTTACCCCTAAAATTGGTTGGCTTGGTGATATTCTGGATTGAAAATGAGTCTCGCACAGACTCCAAGAACAGGGATGCTGGGTGATTCCCATCTCTTGGATTCCATCACCCAGGAATGCTGGGTGATTCCCATCTACCCAGTCTATTTCTGGATGGTTAAAGTCTCCAACGATCAACGTATGCGACCTGCTGAAAGTCATGCTCGGTAAAAGGCTGTTTAGAACTTTATCATTATTAGAGGAACTGTTAGGTGATCTATACACGACACCTATGAGGAGGCTGTCCTTGCCTTTTAGAGAAAGTTCGCACCACACTGATTCTCTAGCTGATTGATGCTCTGCAGATAACTTGCTAGGCCCCATAAGAGGTTCTAACCCGCAGAGCTACACCTCTGCTGCACTGCTCTTCATTTAAGTTATGAAAACAGTCAATATCTGGCAACTGAAATTCAACAGATACAATTTTCCCCCCGTGATTTTCAGGGAGTGTTTCTGTCATACAAATAATGTCTGTGCACTCGTTTACGATCACAGTTAACAGCTCACTTTTTTGTTCAAAACGTAATCCGAGTTCGTGTAAAAACATTTTAAACCTTTTTGTGCACTTTCGCTCTGATTTATGCGGTTAATTCTTACATTATTTGCAGGCCTGGAACTGCGGACATGACTTCTACTGTTTATTTGTCTTCCAGCTCCGCTAACTGATCGTGTGCGACCGGTGTTGTCTTGACATTGCGAGAGTGGTTGACCTGGTTTTCCGTGTTTTTCCTCCTGATTCTCTCCTGTCATTTCTTGCAAAAATCCTCTTCCTCTAAAGGGGGGAAATCCTTCTTTATAAAAACGGAGTTGTACTCAGGAGATTCTCCAAGCTTTCTTGATGCCTTCAGCACACTCCAAACCTGAGCAGGATTCTTTACAGTCACGAAGAGAGGTCTGCAGGTGTTGACAGCAGCATTCTTCGAGCGTAGCCTCTTGCACTATGTAATATCAACCGGTGTGTAGAGTGCCTTGCTACAACATTCTGCAATAAATTCAGTATCAGCCATTACTCGGTCCTTCGTATCACATGCGAAACACTCGGGAACGCCAAACCACACCAAGTTCGTCCAGCAGTTCGTGGGAGCTTTCGCTAGCAACTTCGGATAAATCAACTCTTTGATTATTTACCTCCATTTTAGCGCATTTTCTCATTTATGGAAAAAAGGCGCTATTGTGCCCGCCATGTCAGTCTGTTTGTCTGTCTGTCCATGACTTCACGTTTTCGTCGACGAGAAAATAAGCTCTCTGTCACTCACTGCAGTGAGTACTGAGTTATATTTTTTCTGTATTTTTCGGCTGAGCCTTCACTTCTGTCAGCTCAATGCATAGCGAGCTCAATTTTTCACTCGGCGAGTGCACCATCTCACTGAAGGCATTTACTACATCATTCAGCGATTTCGTCTCATTGCCTTGCTCTTCCACCGGCTTTTCGCTTTTTCGAATACCAAGAGTTGATTCTTCGAAGTCATGACAAAACCAACGAAGTAATTTCGTTTTCTAGAGAAACGAGTGTCTTCGCTAAGTTATAATGGTTCTAGTTGAGCCCTGTAGGTGCACTAGACTTTGTTGGCAAATATTTTGGAAGAACTATGAGCACTGATTCAAGGATTATTACGGGAAAATGTTTAACAGTACATATGAATATTTTGTACTGGCGAATATGAGAAAAGTTTTCATCCTGGTTAAGGTGAGAGAATGTTTCGTACTGCCGAACGTGGAAAATGTTTGGTACCCGCAATAGGTTAAACGTGTTTGGTACTGGTAAATGGGGTAGAATGTTTCGGACATGCATAATGTAGCAGAATATTGAGCGGTATTGAATTTTGGAGAATGTTCATTGTTGTGTGCTAGGGAGAGTTAGAGAATGTTTGGTTGTGGGTAATCGGAAAGTTGGGGTTGGAAGTTGTAAAAACTGATATTATTCCTAGTTCAAATTCGTGTTTCTAGGCCATTTGCTTCATTGTGCCGCGGTGAGACATTCCTTCTATTTTTTTCCGTCTAGTATGCATATTTATTAGTTTTAGATGGCTTAATTTGCTGCTTTGTACGCGTGCGATTAATGACCGGAGAATTCGTCGATTTAAATTATTAGAGTCGGACAATAATTCTTCAGATGACGTTGGTAGATCGAAAAGCATATAACAGGAAGTAATTTTAGTTTACTAACGGCGTTTCGAATGCAACTAACATTCACTTTCAAGTTACAAGAAAAATTACAGATTGAAATTTTGGTGGAAATAAGTACCTAATATACGTAAATTGGATACTTCAGTAAAATTTCGAACCAGAAAAAACACTTTGAAAACTGTATCAAAACTCACAAATCCGGTAGTCATGAGACAGATTGCTGGCGGGTCGCCTGCCGAAGACCACCACTGCCCTGGCTTTAATGGACCATCATGATTCCTGCCTTCCGGAACGTAGCCTTCAACTCTTCAAGCCGTCCGTATCTAGGGCGTGGGTCGAAGTTGAATCGAACCAGCCCTCGGTCGAATGGCCACTTGTCAAAGGACGATAAATTTTGGAACAGAACTATGCTATCTGGAACCTAACCTCAAATGCGGTGAACGTAAAATTACGTAATTTAACGATGCTCGGAAGTCATATTCGATCCGCGGCCTGGTGGTGCACGGCTGGTGGTGGTCAAGGTTGGAAGAGGACAAAGCCGAGTGGTGCACGGCTGATTGGTGTAAGTCCGGAAAGATCCAAGGCGTTCGATTGAGGGTTTATTGGTGCACGAAATAGGTGGTGCACGGCTGCGCCCCCTTGCTGGCGTCCAATCATCAGAGGTCAGCCATCGTCAGTCAATTGGTGTCAGGTCACTGCTTGACGACAATGCTGGTGGGTTCTTCCAGCACAATGCGAGTGACTGTCTGGTTGTGAGATTGTCTCATGTGGTTCACTTGCTTTTCAGGTTGAAGGTAGCTAATGAGACAGCGGCTCGCTGTCCTGGTTGTTGATTGAATTTGTCCGATGTAGTCCAAATGATGAAGAAGCCTGCACCTTCTAAGAAGCAAAATTTAAATAAATTTTGCCTCCTCCTAGTTTAGTTTATTAGCGTCGATAATAAACTAAAACAGCTTTCGGAAATATGCCTTTCGATCTACCAATGTCATCTCAAGAATTGTCCGACACCCTGATTATTCAATTAAATCAACGAAGTCTCTGGTCAATAAGTACGCTTATTTTGAAAAGTGTTATACGGTCCCACTCAATTTCCTTGACTGTGCCGTGAATTTGGATGTTTGTAATGGTATGGACACCAAGTAAGAGTTTTAAATAGCAGCGTGAACAAAGCATAAAAATCGCTTATTACATTCAGCAGTGAGAACTGATTAAATGTGGCAGAAAGCCCTCTCGTGTAAAAATTTATGACTATGTTGAAGAAGGGAAGTTATTAGCGAGAATTTTTTCGAACGTTGTGGTTATATGGCTTTCATTCACAGCGTTGCCAAAGTCACATCTAAATAGTTGCCTACTTCTTAATTGTTGTGAATGTAAGTCCTTCCCATATGGTGAAGATTTATTACGGATCGTTTTCATGGTGACCACCACTGATTTGCCATAATTTACGATTCACCAGTGATTTTAAAATAAATTTCGTTTGCCTGCTGGTAGCGATGCTGCTCGAAAAAGGGCCCGGCGTAGAA